TCTCCTGCCTCCAGCGTTTGTAGGCTGCCTCCGAGTAGCTGGGACTACAGGCACTGCCACTGTGCCTGGCTATTTTTGTCTCCAGTTTACGTTGTTTGGCTAATTTCTTTCCATTTACAGTAGAAACGGGGTGTCACTCTTGCTCAGGCTGGTCTCGAACTCCTGAGCTCAAGCAATCCTCCCACCTCAGCCTCCCAGAGTGCTAGGATTACAGGCGTGAGCCACTGCACCGGCCCCTCCTTTCTTTTCTTTCTTACCTTTTCTCCCTTCCTTCCTTCTTTCTTCCCCCCTCCTCTACCCTCCCCTCTCATCCCTTCCCCTCTAAACAGGTGCTCTATATGATCGTAAAAGAGATGGTTGCTAGAGGTGGAATTGAGTTTGCAGTAGAGTGTCTAATGGGTAAAAGCGTAAACGAAGAGCGAAATAGATGACTGAGAGAAACCAATCCCTCTGTGTTTCTTTGCAGATGTATAAAAACCAGGGTCGCTAGATTTATTATCTAAGAGGAACAAATTAAATGTGAAACACGGCATTATATTCACACGTTTTAAGAACATTTTATATTTGAAGGAGAGAAGATAAGAAGGATAAAAATTTGTTGAATCCATTCATCTATTGAATTATTTCTTTAAAAATTCAATAGAATAATAAAAAAAAAAAACCCACCCCAACACACATAATGAAGGCCACCGAGGGGTGGCCAAACAGTGCTGTAGACAGTGACAGGGAGAGTCCCAGGATCTGGGCAGGCCTTGTATTGTCACCGTTGTTTTACAGGAAGTCTGTATGATGCTGTCGGGGTGGTCAATGGGCTTTGATTTGTTTTTCTTTAAGTGCAACTGTTGCGATTTAGAGTTTATCGATTTTCATTACAAGACATGCTCGTTTCTCCACTTAAATGGAGGACCTGATGTGTTTTCACTGTTCAGAGGAGGCAGAACTCAGGCTGGATTTAGGCATGTATCTTTCTGTTTGGGGATTATTTGAAGTTAGGATTCAGTGGTTGGCTTACGTCTATGCCTTTTGTACTGACATTGTCTAGTTGGAAATTGGGAAACCAACAGTTTTTTATTGCAAAGAAAGAACAGTTTTTTATTAGAAAGTATAAGAAGTATGATTAGGGGGTGAATAGGGTTTTCTTACGATTTCCTTTTTACTTGATAACTTTTTGACGTCTGCCAACAGAGATGAAATAGCTTTCTATAATTTTAAGAGGCTTTGGTAGGGAAGGGAATGTTTTGTCTGTATCATAGGAGGGAATAAAGTGATTATGTGACAGACTTGATTCTTTCAATTTCGTTTTTTTATAAACAGGCCTAGCATTTTTTCCACTAAGATATCTATCAATGTCTTTGGGTGAAAGGACATTCATTATACATTAAGCACAAATGCTGTTAGTGAATTGCAGGTTATTTGTATAGGGGTTTAGTTTTAAATTATAATAAAAGACCCGGTAATGCCTTTGAAGGGAGGCATATTTTATAGGGTACGAATGAAAGGAAAGTCACTGTTATAATATCTAAAGCTAATTCTGTTTGAAAATCAAACTGTTGAGGGTAAGGGAAGCTAAAATGAGATTGTTCTATCTTTTAAAAGAGGACAGATTTATTTTTGTAGTGTTTTTAAGCAAAAGAATCTATTTTTAAGACAGTAGTACTTAGGAATTGGAGTGGAATATGAAGAAAACTTTCACACATAAATATTTCTCTTTGTATTCAGTATAACTGAGAGCTGGAGTGGGAGTTAAACATTTTTTCCCCCGGCAAGTGGAACACTTGCTCTGGCGTTCGGGATGTGGGAAGGAAAGGGTAATAGGACAGTGTGATTGTGGGTATGAAAAACATTTCTATAAACCAAAAAAGAAGCGTAAAGTTACAGAGAGTGGCATTTATTACATTAATTGTACAACCCCGGAGAGGGGAGTCCACCTGCCGCAGCGATCTCTGGTTTCATGTGACACGATGCAGTTGCCACTGTACTGAGCTTTGCAAAATGTGCATTGTGCATTTGCAGCTCAGAGTCAGGCTTCCTTCAGGTGGACTAGGGTGGCTGACCGATATGCTTTAAACCACTGGCAATTGACTGTGACCTCTTCGAAATGCCACGCTACTTCACCCCGGGCTCACCCTCCTCCCCCAAGAGAAGGGTGCAAACCTTAGGTGAAATAGAGGGACTGGGGAGCCGGGTGTGGCTGGGTTACTGTGGAGAAAAAGTTGCTTCTCCATTTCTTGCAGAGTTTGCAGGCATGGAGGTTCCTCTCTGGGGCTTCCCAGACCATAACTCTGCTTTAGCTGGTCACATAGGAAGAGATACGGTGGCGTGGTGGGCAACAAGCTAACTAACATTGACTAAATGGTTTGATGCTGCTGCGTGCCTGTTTATAAATCAGGCCGGTCCCTGGTACCTGTCGCAGAAGATGAAGATAATCAGAATCATGTGTTAACCTTCCCAGGATTGGTGAGGCTACCTGCCAGTTGCACTGCTGATCTGACCTGCGAGCTGAGCTGGGCCTGCCACCCACTGAGTATTTGAGTATTCTCTTAACTTCTTTTTGTTCCTCAACTGAGTCCCCTCTGGGATGAACAGTGTGAAACTGTGTGATGTCTTTTGCTCACCACAATCATAAAGAGAAGGCAAATGACACACATCCCATTTAGCTAGAAAGAAAGGGTAGAGAGGGCTGGGCATGGAGGCTCATGCCCGTAGTCCTAGCACACTGGGAGGCTGAGGTGGGAGGATCGCTTGAGCTCAGGGGTTCTAGACCAGACTGAGCAAGAGCGAGAGCCTGTATCTACTTAAATAGAAAAATTAGCTGGATGTGGTGGCAAGTGCCCTGTGGTCCCAGCTACTTAGGAGGCTGAGGCAGGAGGATCGCTTGAGCCCAGTTTGAGGTTGCAGTGAGCAATGATGACACCGCTGCACTCTACCCAGGGTGACAAAGTGAGATTCTGTCTCAAAAACAAAAACAAGACAGTAGAAGGACTTAGACAGAGCCCAGCTACCATTGAGGACTTACAGAGTCCAGGGCCAAGCCTTGGATAAGTGGTGGCACTAAGAGTCTCTCTGTCAGGCCTGTTCAACCTTGGTTTTGGTGGGAGAGGGTGGCTCACGATTCTGTGCCTTGAGTTTTCTAGTAACAGTGGCCTCCAGCCATAGATCAACATGGTTGGCAAAGTCAGATCACAGGGTGACTTTACAACATCAATGTGATGGTTAAAAATAAGTGTGCTGACATTCAGGGATTATTCATAAGTGGGTGGATTCTTATGTGGATATATGTCTGACAGATGGATATTTTGTTGCCCACATTTTGCAGTTGAAGTTCAATTTCATTTTAAAAAGAAAACCATAATCTCAGACTTTCCCACTGTGTCCGCCTTCTCATAGATAGTTTCACATCAGTATCACTTTAGAAAGGTTTTGTTTCCTGTGTACCTTTTACGTTGGCGGTAGTTTGATACTGGCGGGATATGTTTTTCCCTGTGTGGTCTCTCAGACACCCGTCTAAGAGAATAGTGGCCGTTGAGTGTTTTCTCCAGGCTAAGTGGGCCACCGAGGGAAAAGTACACGTGACTTCTTCAGTTCTGTATTAACTTGGACACGTGCGAATGGAAGGCGATGTATTCCTCAGCTCGCATCGAACCTTAAGTGTTTATTTCATCAGCAGCAGTAGTTTTTCCCAACCAAATTCTGAGGAGTGTTTGGACGTGTCCCCAGAGTGCGTGACACACTGAGGGTCTCAGCAGCTGTTGATGGATTTGTGGTTTGTGTGGGTTTTCACAGGTATGCATATTCTTGTCTGAGTATAAGAAGAGAGGAGGAGTACACACGCACACACACTGGGGTACATACCAGGAAATAAGAGAACCCTAAGATGCAGTGAGTGCTGTGGGGGTCCAGGGAGCAGAACAACCCCCTTGCAGTGGAGGTTTTGTCTGATCCCCACAATCACCTGTCCTCTGCAGGTGGAGTGAAGGGCTCCTTCTGAAGACCCCAAGCACTGCATGTATTTATATGTCCTTCATCTTTAGGAAGGGCTGTGACTGTCCATTTTCCCAAAACTCTCCATTCTCCTACCATCTGAGAGTGTTTTCTTTTTTTTTTTTTTTTGAGTCTCACTCTGTTACCCAGGGTGGAATGCAGAGGTGTCATCACAGCTCACTGTAACCTCAAACTCCTGGGCTCAAGCAATCCTCCTGCCTCAGCCTCCCAAGTAGCCAGGGCTACAGGCATGTGCCACCATGCCTGGCTATTTTTTTTTTCCTATATATTTTAGTCGTCCAATTAATTTCTCTCTATTTTTAGTAGAGACGGGGTCTCCCTCTTGCTCAGGCTGGTCTGGAACTCCTGTGCTCATGCAATCCTCCCACCTCAGCCTCCTAGAGTGCTAGGATTACAGGTGTGAGCCACCATGCTTAGCTGTTATTTTTTCTTAAATCCTAGGTGGACTTACTAGCAGTAGATATACTGTGGTTGGTTTGGATGCTCATTTTTTCTGCAGATGAATACTGAAATCTCTAATTGGTTTTGTGATTATGTTTCGTTTAGTGTGTATTCTCAATCCGATGGTGACTGTGATAGTGATAATTTGCCAGCAGAATCAAATACTGTCAGTTAAACACTGTCATTTTCCAAAATATGTTTGGTTGTAGCTTTTTATGAAAATGACACATTTCATAGTTGCCACACTAAAACCTGCTTTTCTGTGCTGTAACTGTTTCTATCAGTTTCATTCTTGTTAGTGAGGACTCACGCCGGTGACACTGCACAGCAGTTTGGAGGGATTACTTTTGAAGCTAAAATTATTTAGGTTCCATGCATACTCTCTGGGTGTTTGTTCACTTTGACTCAAGAGTTCTGTAATTACAATAAAAACGCAGTTCACCACCTTGCTCTTCCTTGGTAGTCATCACTACGCTAGTGTAAATCCTGCGGGGAGACTTGTCTCATGGCCGGGAAACGTTTGTTGCTGATGGAGTTGTTTTCTGTTCGTTTAACAGAACCTCTGATCACATTCATGACCATGGGGGACATGAAGACCCCAGACTTCGATGACCTCTTGGCAGCGTTTGACATCCCAGACATGGTGGACCCCAAGGCAGCTATCGAGTCCGGGCACGACGACCACGAGAGCCACCTGAAGCAGAACGCCCACGGCGACGACGACTCGCACACGCCGTCCTCCTCCGACGTGGGCGTCAGTGTCATCGTGAAGAACGTCCGCAACATGGACTCCTCCGAGGGCGGGGAGAAGGACGGCCACAACCCCACCGGCAACGGCCTGCACAACGGGTTCCTCACGGCGTCCTCCCTGGACAGCTACGGCAAAGACGGGGGAGCGAAGCCCTCGAAGGGAGACGCGCCCGCCTCCGAGGCGGCCCTGAAAGACGCCGCGTTCAGCCAGTTCAGCCCCATCTCCAGTGCCGAAGAGTTCGACGACGACGAGAAGATCGAGGTGGATGACCCCCCCGACAAGGAGGACGCGCGCCCGGGCTTCAGGTCCAACGTGCTGCCCGGGTCGGCTCCCCAGCAGGACTACGACAAGGGGAAGCCGCCCGGAGGGGAGAACTCCAGCAAGACCGGAAGCTCTGCAGCGGGCAGCACAGAGAAAAACAAAGTCAAGAGAGAAACAGAACCAAATTCTATAAACCTGAGTGTCTATGAACCCTTTAAAGTCAGAAAAGCGGAGGATAAATTGAAGGAAAACTCCGAAAAGGTGCTTGAAAGCAGGGTCCTTGACGGGAAGCTGGGCTCAGAGAAGCACGACAGCGGGCTCGCCGGCGTGGCGCCATCCAAGGCGAAGTCGTCCTCCAAGCTCTCATCCTGCATCGCTGCCATCGCGGCGCTCAGCGCTAGGAAGGCGGCTTCGGACTCCTGCAAAGAGCCGGTGGCCCATTCAGGGGAGTCCTCTCCGTTACCAAAAGAAGTGAACGAGAGCCCGAAGGCCACCGACAAGTCTCCCGAGTCCAAACCTCATCGACGGACAAAGAAACCCTCCCAAAAGCCACCGGACAGCCCAGAAGCATCTCAAGCGAGAACAGCAGCAAGGGGTCCCCGTCCTCTCCTGCAGGATCCACACCAGCAATCCCCAAAGTCCGCATAAAAACCATCAAGACGTCTTCTGGTCGAACCCCGCGTCCAGCAGAACAGCCGAGCGCGAGCCGCGCAGTGACCTTCCGCGGACAGGCTCGTGCAAGTACATCCGTGGCCGAACAGCAACAGGCTCCCAACTTCGAGGCCAATACCGACCGTCGCCGCATTAGCTTCTGTCGACCTACACTGGGAGCCTCGTCTTATAAGGTGGGAGCCGCGGCGCGCGTAGGCCTCGGCCCTAGCGAGCCCTCGGTGTCGCCGCCGAGGCCTGCGTCTCTCCCCTATCTCCCCTCCTTCCGCTCCACAGGGGCGGCGCGCTGCAGCAGTCGGCCGCGAGTGCCCAGTTGCCGTCGCGCACAGCCGCGCCATCCGTCTGCACCGTGCACCCGAACACCTCCCGATCCACTCTGTCGAGAGTGGCTACCGGCCCGCCCTGCGCGGCCCCCGTGGCTACCGCTTCCCTCCCCATGTGCCGCTTCAAGACGCGTCAGGATGCAAGTCATATAAATTCTTAAGCTCGCTAACAACACGACAGTGAAAGCCACGTTCAATCTGCTGCCAACGGTTCAGAGTGCCAGGTCAGCGCCATCATCTTAAACCGCCAACGCCATCCAGCCAGCAGACTGTGTGGAGTGCCGGCGCAAGCGTGCCATGCAATCGTGCGCCAAACGACTGTCACTTTGCCAACCTTAACCTTCTGCTCAGGGTGCCGGCCACTGAACTCCGCCAAGTGCTAACCAAACTCAGCAAACAATAAAGCGGCAATAATCAATGCAGCCGCTCGCAACCGCCCAAAAAGGTGTCTCGAGTCCAGTGGGTGTCCTTGCAGAGTTCGGTGGTGGAAGCTTTCAACAAGGTGCTGAGCAGTGTCAATCAGTCCAGTTTACATCCCAAACCTCAGTCCTCCCGCCAATGCGGATCACGTTACGACGCTGGGGTAGCAAAGTGCTTGGAGTGGCGGGGACTCCTTTGCGCTTGAAAGAGCCTGACCCAGCACTAACACAGACGTAGTGGCGCATCGAAGTAACGTGCAACCATTTACAAAGAACCTCGTTTTTTACAACAAATGCAGCCTCCTTTCCCATGCCCGTGGGCATAAGGAAAAAGGGGTGGTGATGCAATGCTCCCACTTAATTTTAAAGCCAGTCCCAGCAGATCAAATGATAGTTTCTCCATCAAGCAATACTTCAGCTCCATCTTCCACTCTGCAGAGCCCCGGGGGAGCCGGCACACACACTGTAACAAAAATTCAGTCTGGCATAACGGGGACGGTCATATCGGCTCCTTCCAGCACTCCCGTCACCCCAGCCATGCCCCTGGATGAAGACCCCTCCAAACTCTGTAGACACAGCCTAAAATGCTTGGAGTGTAACGAAGTCTTCCAGGATGAGACGTCACTGGCTACACATTTCCAGCACGCTGCAGATACGAGTGGACAAGTAGAGTATCATTTAAATCTTGGTGTTTCAGTGATGAGTCTGTAGACAGGAGTGCTTGTTAAGATGCCTTTGATTTTGGGAGTGGGAGCTTGGTTAAATGGGGTGTGTGTGTGCGTGTGTGTGTGCGTGTGTGTGTGTGTGTGTGTGTGCACATGGGCGTGCCCGCAGGCAGGCGTGCATGCGAGAGAGAAAGGATCGTTTTCATAGAATAGAAACAATGTTGAAACATGAATCTTACTTTAAAAAAAATGGTGTTTTGGGGGGAAGACAATTCTTTTAGCCCGGATGCAAACCGTGTGTACTAGTCGAGCTATGGTACTTTAGATTTTGGTAACTGCTCAGTCATTGGATTATGTATCGGAAGTCAGAGACACAGCTAATTAGAGTGTCATCCCATTGTATTCAGTGTTCAAGTAAGGCTGTATCACCAAAGTTCCTGAATTATTAGTGACAATTTTGAGATTTTAAAAATTACTTAGTGTTGTTTATAATACTGAAATCTCTTTTATAGTTAAGCACTTAATCAGTACCCCCTTTAATGGTGTGTCTACTTAAGTATAAGATGAGGGTCTAGAAATATATTTAGTAATATTCTTCACTGCAGTGTATTAAGCTACAGTGGCAAACCCATCTCTACTTAAGCAGGTTACTGTGTGTGTGTGTGTGTGTGTGCGCTTGCAGCTTCTGTTTTGTAGTGAAGTACAGGTTGACGTTGGTGATACACATTTTGGCCTTTTAGCTATGGTTACTGCACAAGGCAACAAATGACTAATAGATAAATGTGTTTAACGCATATATGATACTGTTACTTGGAAGTAACTGGGCATGTTGAATGAAATAAATTCGAGTTAGTCTATATGATATATTGTCCAAACCAGCAAACGTGGGAGGTTCAAAGTGGGTGCTAGTTTGAGCTAATGTGCTCTGCCTCTCAGACTTTTCTTTGGTGAAGATCCAGTGTTCATCTGGTTTTCCTCTCTTTATCCTCCAGTGTTTGTTAATTGGGAGGTTTCTGCTGCGGGCCAGCAGTCGGTACCGTCATGGCGGAGGGTTCCTGAAGGGCAGTTACTACGTTCTTTGTGGGAGTTATAAACAAAAGATCAAGAATATCTTGACTTTTTTTTTCCTCTGAATTTTCAGTTTAGTGGAAATGGAAGCAATGAAGAGTTTTTAGGACATTCCTGCAGGCTTGGTTGCTAAATGTTTCATCGGCTCTGACAGTAGAATGCTCAGAGAAGAGGAAGGCGGCTGCGCAGTTGAAGGTGGCAGTGGTGGCTGTAGCTCTTTAGCCTGTCGTCATGATAATGCTTGAGCTCTGTCCGCCTGGATATCCTCTTGCCTTGTCACTACTTCATCAACATGGTCATATTTCTTTTCATCCCAAAGGGATGCAGTAAAAGGGAGAGAAGGCCAAAAAGCCCTTTCTCCAGTTCCGTTTGTCCTGTTCCTGTGTTTGTGGGTAGATCGTGGGGGGGGCGGTAGGCTATGTCCTGGCTTAGGCCGGTTCTTACTACTGGCTGTGTGCTCTATATCAGGCATTTTGAGCTGCCCTCAAATGTGTCTGTCTTCTTCAGATCCCTCCTCTAGGAATGAGGAAGGACATGGGCAGAGAGGTAGGAATATTCCTACTCCCCTGTGTTCTCTTGAGTTTCTGTTCTCTGTTAACCTTTTAGTCTGAGCTGCCAAACCAGGGTCACATGGGTGAAGGTCTTTCGATGGGAGAAGGAAATTAGTATCTCTTGTGTGGTGTGGTTGCTTTGGCATCACTTTATATTTTGCTGGGACAAGTAAAATGTGCAGGTCACCTATTTCACCCAGAGTCCGAGGAATGAGTCACAGTGAGTGTACATTTAACTCTAAGGCCAAATACACTCTAAGCAAAACGTTTGCCTCCTATTCTCTTTCCATTCTCCAGTTCTGCCTAGCTAAGTCATCCGCCGGCTCGCCAGAGAAGCGTGTTGATATTACTTAGTGAGCATCAGCCGACTGCATGGCCAAGTGCTACAGGGCCACATAAGCCCCCGGTACACCTGCTGCTGTTTCTCAGCTCCCCTCTCTCCTTGGAATTGCAGTCCAAGGAACCCTCCGCCATTGCCCACGCTCCTCGGGCCCAGCCCCACGGCTCTCCCGCAGACCCCCGCAGGGCATCTGCTTTCCACCCTAGCAGGAGTGGCTGCTGCCTCGGCATCCAGCTTCACCCACGCTCGAGTCTTTCCCCCCAGTTCCAGGAGGTCAGTCGGGCACACGTGGCTGTTGTGTCATGGCAGGTAGGGTGGTTCTCACCCATTGCTGTCACCTGCTGTGCTATCAGGTAGCCACGGTGGCGGGAGGCGGGGACAGAGAGGAGACAATAACCCTTCATTTCATCTCTCCAGCTTACCATCACATGACCGTTGGCCAGTGTACATATTGGTTCACTTAAACTGGGGGGGGGGGAGTCTACCCACAGGAACTGTTTCTGAGAATGTCACTTACAACTGTGTCTTCTCACAAAACTTAGAAGTTGACCCGGCGGCACTGCAAGTACCACAGACTTTGCCGAGTCCCTTCCTTCCTCTGTTGTCCTCCGTGTTCCAGCACTTAAACCTCCACTTTCCGTTTCCCCGCTGACCTCCACGTGCTGGAAGCTCATGGGAAGCGAGAGCGTGGACCACCCCGCGTGTGTAGCCGCCGTCCCGGCCTCGCTCCCTGGCCCGGCCTTTCTGGAGTCGGGGCCCAGAGCGGCGCAAGCCCTGCGTCTGCCGGCCGGCAGGGCTTCCTCCGCCTGCATGGTGGCTGTGCTTAGAGGCTCGTCTGCGGCGGGCTCCTGAGCTGACCCGTGCTGCCGTCCAGGGTTCTGCAGGCTGAAAGGGTGCGGCCTCCGGGGCCCTCGCTAGACCGGCAGGTCCTCACCCTTCACTCTCCGCCTTTCTGCCTCCAGGTTTGCGGGGCCTGGAGCAAGGCACTTCCTTACTGGGAGAGGGACCTCCTGCCCTGCTTATTTTGAGATGATCGCACATTCTTGTAAGAAATAGTACAGAACCTGTGTACCTTCCTCCAGTTCCCCTCAAAGGGACCATCTCACACAACTGTGGAACCGTGTCTCAAGCAGGATGTCGGCAGTGGTGCAGTCAGGACACTGAACTCTTTAGCACTATAAGGGTCTCTTGTGTTGCCCTTTTATGGCCACCCCGGTGCCCTACATAAGCCCCGGCAACCATTAACCTGCTTTCTGTTGCTATAATTTTGTTATTTCAAGAGCATTATATACATGGAACCATGTAGTATTATAACTCTTGTGGATTGGCTTTTTTCATCAACATAATTGCCTGTGTACCCAATCAATAGCATCAGTAGTTTATTCCTTTTTATTGCTGAGTAGTATTCCATTATATGGTTGTACCATAGTTTGTTTCACCAAGCACTCATCGAAGGACATCTGCATCGTTTCCCGTGTGGGGCTGTTATGAATAAAACTGTCATGAACACATGGTGTGTAGGTTTTTGTGTGAATGTAAGTTTTTGTTTTTCTGAAATAAATGCCCAGGAATGTAATTGCTGAGTTATGTGGTAGTTACATGTGTTTAGATGCTTAAACTGTTTTCTAGGGTGGTGGTTCCGTTCCCTAATCCCGTGAGTAGTGTAGGAGCATCGAGCCTCGTCTCGGCATCCTCGCCCGCATTTGGTGGTGGTGCCAGTTTTGACTTTAGCCATTCTGGTAGGTGTGTGGGTGGTGCTGTTTCATTATTTCATTGCGGTTTTAATTTGTGTTTCTCTAATGGCTAATGATGTTGAACATCTCATCATGGGTTTATTTGCCAGCTGTATCTCTCTTTTGTTGAAATGCTTCTTCCTATCTTTGCCTATTTTCTAATTAGGTCTTTTTCGTTTTGTTTTACTAATTAGTTTTACAAGTTCTTGAGAGAGTCTAGACACTAGCAGTTTGTTGGCTGTGTGGTTTTAGGTCTTTCCTCCCAGTCTGTAGCTTATCTTTGCATCCTTTTTACAGGTTTTTGGCAGAGCAAAAGTTTTTAATTTTGATGAAGTCCAGTGTATCAGTTTTCCCTTTTTCTGCTTTTGGTGTTACTGTTTGCCCGATCTTAGATCCTGAAGATTTTCTTTCCTTTTATTCCCTGGAAGTTTTCTAGTTCTGTGTTTTACATTGAAGTCTGTGATTCATTTTGAGTTTATTTCTGTCTAAGGCAGGCGTTCAAACACGGCCGAGACCACATGCCCCCGCTAGGACATTTATCCGCCCGCCGGGATTCCGCGGTCCAATCCCGGATGTTTTGCCGCCGCTGGCCTTCCTGGCTTAGACACGACTCGTCCCGGGCCACAGTGCGCACTCTCCAACAGGTCTGAGGGAAGTGAACTGGCACCTGTTTAAAAAGTTTGAGGACCCCGCTCCTAGCGTAAGGTGTGGCCTTCGGTTGGTTCATCTCTCTTCTGCCCGTGTTTGTCTCTTCTCACAACCCGCTTTGTCAAGCAGGCCTTATTCCTCCGAAGTGATTGGCTTTTGCGCCGTTGTCAGGTATCAGTCGGGCGTACTTGTGTGGGGCTATTTCTGGGTTCTTCTACTCTATTGATCTATGTGTGTCCCTCTCCCCATATCACATTGTCTTAACACGTGTTTATTGGATGCTTCAAATCAGTAGACGACTTCATCACCACTTTATTCTGCCTTCCTAAAATTGTTTTAGCTATTCTTGTTCTTTTGCCTTTACATATAAATTTTAGAATAATCTTGTCTATATTTACAAAAAAATCTTGCTAGGATTTTGGGTAGGAATTGTGTTAAATTTTTGTATCCATTTGGAGTAGAATCAGCATCTTTACTATGGTTGAGTCTTTCACTCCATGAACACAGACTCTCTCTCCATTTATTTAGAACTTCTTTGATTTCTTTTAATCATTTTGTAGTTTTCATTATACAAGTCCTATATGTGTTTTGTTAGGTTTCTATTTTTAGGAAATTGTAAATGGTATTATATTTTTTGGTGAACATACTCACTGTTTCTGTA